ATTTCGTAATGTGGTATTTCCAAAGAAGGTACCATTCATCACTAAAAGATGACAAGTTAGATCCTAGTCCTACCCACAGTTTCACCACAGTGGTCTCCTGGTAGTTCTGTGTTTGGTACCACCTTAAAGGTCATTAACCAGGAGGACATTATCACATGCCCCTCCCCGGAACGAAGACTGTATCAGTCTTGAAGAGCATCAACACGTATAAAAAATTTACTAAATTCATAAAAATACATAAAGCGAAATCAAAATTGGAAGTGAAAGTAAAATTCAATCAACGTATGTTAAGGTCACAAATTGGATTATATGAATATTCAAATTTCAAAATATTAACTGTATAAAAGTTGAGGATTTAAAAAGTAAAATGTTCGCAGCACATCGTCATCAATTTCTGCTTGTCCTTTCAAGCTACTCAATGTTCAAAGTAAATGAAAATAAATGTTCATCCTCCTTAATTGTACCGACAAACATGATAAAGTATCTTATAAACAATGTTTTTCAAAGTTCCCAATAATCTTCTTATACCTGCCTCTTGAAACGCCGATATTGTTCGAAATGTCCCAAAATCAAAACAAGTAGGTTATTTTACATGGATAATTTATTGGCAATGCATATGAGAACAACACTTAAACTAAAATACAAATTTTACCAATAATTCTTAACTACAACAAATAATATCCAATGTTGGAATAATCAAAGTAAAATAATAAAGGCAAAGGAAGTAAAAATATTTAAAAGAAAATCAACTTAATATGTCATGCAATTCATAAACTTTAGCTTTAATTAAGCTCTACTTAGGCCATCGGCATTTCCATTTATGCTGCCCTTTTTATATTTAATCTCAAAGGTATAATCTTGTAACATAATTGCCCATCGCATAAGGCGATTGTTATTGTTTTGCATTGACTTCAACCATTTGAGAGCTCTATGGTCCGTTTCAAGTACAAACTTTCGACCATACATATAGTATTTTAACTTCTTAATCGCCCAGATAATAGCCAAGCATTCTTTTTCTGGAACAGAATATCGCTGTTCCCTAGAAAGTAATTTACGGCTTATATATGCAATTGGGTGTTCTACATTATCATCATTATATTGACATAGGACTGCTCCAAAACCGAACTCAGAAGCATCAGTTTGCAGTGTAAATGGTTTTGTAAATTCAGGGGCCTTTAAAGTGTAGGAACAGTAGATAATTTTTTCTTTAAAGTATTGAATGCTGTATCACAATCACTGTCCCACTTCACAGTATTGGACTTGTCTTTTTTAGTGAGGTTGACAAGTGGGGCAGAAATGTTAGCATAGTCTTTAATAAAGCCCGATAATCCTAAAAAGGCTCTTACATGTTTCTTAGTTATTTGTCCATCAGTCTTTGGAATGTACTGCTACTATTTTGTAACCCAAATGGTAACACGTTGTAACAGAACTGTCCAAAGGGAGTAATAAATGCAGATTTATGTTTTGACTTATCGTCTAATGGTACTTGGTAGAAACCCTTAGTTAAATCAAAAGTGGAAATATATGTTGCCTCGGTTACATCATCTATAATTTCGTCAATACGAGGCATAACATATGGGTCAAACTTAGTACGTTTGTTTAACTCTCGGAAGTCGGTCACTAGTCTAATTTCTGTTGCCGACTCTTTAATGGCAATGATAGGAGATGCATAAGCACTTGTAGTGGGTTCAATGACTCCCAATTCCAACATGCTGTCTATTTCTTTCTTTACTAATTCTTTAAGGGAGTGTGGAGTCTTGTAAGCCCTTTGTCGAACAGGTGATTCTTCCTGTGTTTTAATGGTATGTGTTATTAAATCTGTCCTACCTGGGACATATGAATAAACATTAGCATGATTACATAATAGTACTTTTAACTCATCTTTTTGCTCATCATTAAGTCGATCGGGAATTAGTACGTTTGCCCATGTTTGGGTTTGACAGTAATGTAACTCAATGCCCATGTCATTCTCATGAGTGTCAAGTTCAAAGTGAGTTGACATTTGCGAATACATAATGACACATGGCTATCTTTTCACCATGATCCCTTTCATACCAAGGTTTCAACATACAGTATTAACGTGAAGCACCCGTTTACTTTTTCTGTTATTAGGTAGAGTAACTTCATAGTTTACATCATTTAATTTATCTGTAATAACAAAGGGACCTTGCCATTTACTGTCCATTTTCGAATTTCCCTGTGGTAAGAAAATTAATACTTTATCGCCTATATCAAACTGCCTAAGAGTTGAATTCTTGTTATAGGCCACAGCCATGGTGTTTTGACTTTTAACCATATTACAATTTGCATCTTTCATTAAATCTGCAATAGTTTGTCTCATTGTAACCAAATATTCTACTACATCTTGGGATTCCGATTCATCGGATATCCAGTTAGCCTTAACTACACTTAATGGCACTTAATGGTCCTCTAACTTCCCGACCATAGAGAAGTTTAAAGGGAGAGTGCCCTGTAGATTTATGGGGTACCTCCCGATATGCGAATAAAAATGCAGGATAATCATCCCTGTGTCTCATTTGCTGTTCGTCTAGTGTTCGGAGCATATTTTTGAGAGTCCCATGGAACGGTTCGGTCAAGCCATTTGTTTGTGGGTGATATGGGGTAATGGGAATTTGTTTTATTTTCAGCGTTTTAGATAGAGATTTCATCATTTCGGACATGAAATTAGTTCCCTGATCATGCACTATTTCGGTAGGTAGACCTACTCTACTGAAAACCTCAATTAAGGGATTAGCTACTGTGGTTGCCCTAATGTTAGAAAGAGGGATTGCTTCAGGATACTTAGTTGCATAATCACAAATCGTTAAGAGATATTTATTTCGTTTAACAGTCCTGGCTGGCGGACCAACAATGTCAATACCTATTCTACGAAAAGGGATATTAATAATGGGCATTGGGATTAAGGGATGTTTAACTTTGGTTTTAGCTTTGTTCATCATTTGACAAACTTTACAAGTGCGGCAATGCTCACTAACATCTTTGAATATACCTGGCCAATAGAAGTGTTGGAGAATTCTGTCTTTAGTTTTCTCCACCCCTAGATGTCCTGCCAAAGGAGCATCATGAGCAAATTGAAGTATGCTAAGCCTACATTCAGATGGTACTACAATTTGGTCAATTACATTTTCAATTTTCCCACTAATGGGTCGTTTTTTGCCATTTCCTAAACAAAAAAACACTCTTTCTTGTAGAATGCTACCCTATGATCTTTTATAGCATCTTCATCTATAAGTCTGTCTCGGATACCCATAAGCGTATCATCAGCATTTTGAAGTTGAATTAGTTTGGCCCTATCTATATCTAGCAGTAGGGGTTTGTCACTATTTTCAGTATCTATAGTATCCTCATTAGTCGATGAAACATTCTCAGCTACCTGGTCATTTGTCCGTTGAGGCCTATGTACTTTGGGAGCATCAGTGGTCGTAAGTTTATTTGAATCAGATTCATTTTTAGTTATCTCATCACCTTAGCTTGGGCCCTAGTAAGGATACACATTTCCTTCGCTATTACCTCACTACGTGAAGAGTCCAAGTCATGTCCTAATAGTACATCATGTAAGAGTTCATCAATCACAGCTACCTTAACCAACCCTTTTATCAGTGTACAGTCCAAATTAATTTTAGCTAAGGAAACTGTGATTTCGCCACCTATACCCCAGACTGTTATAAATTCCTCAGGTAAATAACAAGTCTCCGGAATAAATTTAGAATTTACTGCA